TGATTTCATACCAATGATATACTTGAAGGGATCTTCCTGATTTCTGAAAATTTGAGACTTACAGGGTTAAGAAGACAGATGGGTAACTTTTTTTGCCTTTGTGAAGAAATCACTAGAGCACATATATTCCTTCTTAGTCATACTCTCTTTCTCTAGCCTTTTCTGATTTGCCATACCTTTCTTTTCTTCCTGCCCTCTCCCTTCTCCATATCTGTAGACACTTCTGGACTGGAGGTCATTCAATTGCAGATTGATTTTGTTGCTGCTCTATTCCACAGGCACCCTGTTCCACAGCTGCCAGGTTAATTGCTGCTGTGCTTATCCTGTCTCCTTGGAATTCACAAGTTGTCAGCACTCAATTGCTAACCAGTGTACTCATGTCCTGCTACACAACACCAATATGACACAATATGACTATAACGAGCAGCAAGAGGTAGTCACTGAGTTGTTAGTCTGCGATATTGTGGAAAGCAACTCATGTAAGATTAAAGTATTAAAGTTTTCCTATTTAGAGCTAATTATTTAGGAGCTCCAACAATTTAAACATCTGCTTTATAGTAAGTTTTGTTATAAACATATTGAATTTGCATGGTGATCAGTTGCAAACCCTCAGAAAATATGATTTTAAATGTGATTGCTGTTAGAGACAGGAATAAAAGAAAGCCTGGGTTTTCTTATTCTTGGGATGGGTTTGATGAAACAAAATAACTGGAAGTAACATAATTTTTAATTGTCCTATTTTAGCAGTGAAAATGTACATAATAGCAGAAACCACAGAACTAAATCTGTGTTTTCTAATTATTTGCCTTGCTGACAAATTTTTGTGCTGATTACAAAATATTAGAGAAGTAATGCTATGCAATGGTTAAGCGTCCACAGTTTCTTAGGTCTCAAACATTAAAATAAAGAAAAAATAGTAGAGTTATATTACAGCTGGGAAAAGAACATGAGGTTCACATTCTAAGTTAATGTGAATCACATATGTACTAGATGCATAGTACACACACACACACCACACACACACACACACACCTTTAAGCAAACATCTAAAAATATGTTTAATAGGTATGTACTTTGTACCTTCACTTCAAAGACGTCTCCACTTGAAATACTTTTATAGATAAGACACAAGAGAAAAAAATTAAGCCTAGATAGATTGTACACGTGAACTAAATTGTTACTATTCTGTACATCTACATTGCAGGCTTTGTCTTGTAAATCAAGATGCTGTTTAGTATATCAGGGTGATTCTTTGGGCATACTAAATAAACAAAACAGGACAAAAAACCTTTGAAAAATTATTTTGATCTTAATTTTTTTAAAATAAATATTTCGTATACACATACAACATTAAGGAAGCAATGATGAAATCTGAGATATGAGATGATAATGTTCCCTCTAAGGAGTTATGTGATACCTTTAATATCATGCTAGTTTGGGAGTCTGCTACTTATTAGTGAATAGGGTCATTAGGTCCTATGCAAGAATTTTGAAGTATTAACTTTTAACATATTACAGTAATAGATATAAGTATCATCCAATAGGTCTACTAACCCCAAATGAGTCATGAACAGTGGAAGGGGAGAAATATGCATTCTATTATTAATACTGGATATAAATGAGTTAGAACATTGCTTTTAGTGTTTTCCTACAGGCTACATAAGATAAAGAGGGAGATGTGGAGGAAAAAGGGAAATTACAACAATTTTATTACTGATTTCATCTATTTCTTTTCAGCATAGCTCCAAACTAGGAAAATATTTAAAAATGAAAATCACTATACATAAATTTGTGATAAGGAAGAAGATTATCTACTTTAGAAGCGGAAGGAATCACAAAGAAACATAGTAACATTTCCTCTTTGGAGAAGTTTCTTTTTAGCTCTTCTGCCCATTCTTTGACTGAATTATTTACTTAGTTTTTGTTGAGTCTCATCAGCTCTTTGTAGATTTTTGTGATCAGTCCTTTAGCATTAGTATTGTGGGCAAAAATTTTCTCCCAATAGGTGGGGTGTCTCTTTGTTTTGGTTACTGTCTCTTTTGCTGTACGGAAGCTCTATAATTTGATGTAGTCCCAGCTGTTTATCTTTACCTTCACTATCACTGCTTTGGGTGATGTGTCTGTAAAGATGTCTTTGAGGTGCCATGTCATGTAGTGTTTCGCCTATATTTCCTTCTATATATTTTTTAAAAATTTTTTTTTTAATAGAGGCACGCTTTCATTTATTTATTTGTTTGTTTGTTTGTTTGTTTTGTTTATACATGCACTGGGCACAGTCAGAAGCATGGGAGGGTGGGAGAATTCACCAGAGCCAGAGCGGGGAGCAGAGCAGGCAAAAGGACCGAAGTACACTGCTGAGGGGAGCAGCGGGCGGCAGGAGAGGTCTGCGTGCCATGTGGGACCCTCCTCCGGTGGCAGGGGAGCAGCCGGGGATCGAACTGGCGCCGCAGAGGCCGCGGGCAGCTTCGCAACCCAGCGCTCAACCGCTGCGCCACCGGGGAGGCCCTCCTTCTATATATTTTATGGTTTCAGGTCTTATATCTAGTTCTTTAATCCATTTTGAGTTGGTTTTTGTGCATAGTGTGAGGTAGTAGTCAAGCTTCATTCTTTTGCATGTAGCGACCCAGTTTTCACAGCACCGTTTATTGAACATTGCATATTTGCTCCATTGTATATTCTTTGCTCCTTTGTCAAAGATTAGTTGACCATAAATCTGTGGGTTTATTTCTGGATTTTCTATTCTGTTCCATTGGTCCGTGTGCCTGTTCTTGTTTCAATACCATGAAATTTTGATTATTATGGCTTTGTAGTATAGTTTGAAGTCTGGGACTGTGATAACTCCATTCCCTTCTTTTTTTTTTTCAGGACAGGCATATGAAAAAAATGTTCAACATCATTTGTCATCAGGGAATTGCAAATCAAAGCTACAATGAGATACCATCTTGCACCAGTGAGAATGGCACATATTAAAAAAAACTAGCAATAACAAATGTTGGTGAGGATGTGGAGAAAAAGGAACTCTCCTGCACTGCTGGTAGGAGTGCAAACTGGTCCAACCACTATGGAAAGCAGTGTGGAGATTCCTCAACCTGCTAAAGATGGAGCTTCCATATTATCCAGCAATTCCACTCCTAGGTATTTACTCAAAGGACAGAGAAACATTAATTTAAAAGGGCACCTGTACCCCTATGTTTACTGCAGCACTATTTACAATAGCTAAGCTATTGTAAACAACCAAATGCCCAAAAATCGATGACTGGATCAAGAAGATGTGGAACATATACACAATGGAATATTACTCAGCAATCAAAAAAGATAAACTCATGCAATTTGCAGCAACATGGATGGAACTGGAAGAGATCATGCTCAGCGAAATAAACCAGAAAGAAAAAGGAAAATACCAGATGGTATCACTCATAGCAGGAATTTAGAAAACCTAAATAAGGGACCAGGAAAAAGACTAATTATAATAAAGTAAAAATCAAAATCAACAAGCAATTATAAACCAGAGACACACTATGGGGGGTGGGGGAAGGAGTAGGATCTAAACAAGGTGGGGTGGGAATTGTACAGGGACTATAACCAAGATGAAATGCATACATTGTGCAAAAATGAAAAATGATGTAAAAATACATAAAATTAAAAAATAATAATAAATAAAAAAGAAACATTAAAAAATTGTACCAAATGAAATGCAAAAATTTCTATTTGGAAAATGTTACCAGGATAAAAAAGACATTCAGTGAAACAGAAAAATTATCTGATAAAGCAAATGAAAGATTACTATATATAATTATCTATGGTGAAGTGATACAAAGTTTTAGATGTCTATTTTTTTTTTAATTTGGTAAGATCATACCAATCTGTAAGAAAAATGCTATACTGTAATAGATAAATGTCCAAATATGAAGAGATTAAAAAGAAAAGATTAAAAAGAAAAACCCCTGGTGGTGCAGGGGTTAAAGACAGCCCTATCAAGCTATCACCAGCCACTGCAGCATGGGTTCGATCTCTGGCAGACAGGGAGAAACCCACATGGTGCAGCAGACCTCCCCTGCCTCACCCACTGCTCCCCTCAGAAGTGTGTTTCAGTAGATCTGCCTGTTCTGTTCCCCAGTCTTTCTGGTGAATCCTCTCACCCCCCCGCACCTCTGGCTTACACTCCAGTTCTTGTATGCATAAATAAATAAATCTTTTGTTTAAAAAAAAGTAAAACAGGAGACAAGTAGTAAACAAATATATGTAAAAAATTCAAACACACAAAAATCAAAGCATATATTAAAACAATAAGGTCACATTTTATCTGTATCAGTAAACTGCAAAAATGAGGATGTGCTGAAACTGCTACTTTCATATAATACTGGTAATTTATATAACATAGTGATAAAATCAACTGACATAACCTTTTAGAAAATAATTAGCAGTGTATATAAAAAAACCCATAAAAATGTTCATATTATTTGACCCATTAATTGAAAATTCAGGATTCTATAATGAGTAAATAATTCTAAAGAAAGAAAAACCTATAATAATAAAATTCATAATTATTTAGTTAGATCAGAAAGATACTAAAATAGTTACATAATGGAATATAATTACATAAAAATAAAAATTATAATTACTTAAAAATTTAATAATGATAAATGTTCTAAATTAAATGTTTATGTAGTTAAAGATAACGGGTTTTAATTATTACATACTTATTAGTGTTTTCTATATGTTTTTAAATAGTAATGATATTATATATTTTTAAAAAGTAATTTTGCAAAATTGATTATGGGTAATACTCATAGATCATGAGCAAAATATTTATAGTGTTATGGTGGGTAGAAGTATTACACATTTCTTCTTTACTCTATTTCTCTTTCCAAATTTCTGTAAAGCTATATTGAAATTTTAAGCACAAATTAAAACTAAACATAAATATGTAATTTCTATAATTCTACAATACATATTAATTTGACATGAGTAAAAAAGTAGAAATAAAATACAAGGTCTACCTCTCCTTCATCCATATTCAGCCACTGCTTTGGATCTTCTTCAGTAGCCAGAAAGGCTATCAATTCCAAAGCAGTAAGACGAGTTTGACGCCTTGATGAGACAAATATCAAAACAGGTTTGGCTGGAGAATGGATTCTAATTGCTGTTGAAAAATTGTGGGAAATAAAAGGTAAGTCACTTATACAAGAATCTGAATTTCATTAGGGTTTCAAGTGGATACATGAAACTACTTTTGTAAATTAAATGATTTTTAAATTTGCTCATGAAATTTAGCATTATTCAAGGCATACAAAATATACCTGACAGTATATTAGAGAAATGACAGGAAGGGAGAGGTAGCTGATCCTGTCTAGGGAGCATATAGTCTGGACAGATTGAACAATACTGAATCCTAGTTCTGTTTTGAGCTCCTGAGATAGAGACACTTACAAGTGGAGACACTCCATTGCAAGTGGTATATTGACACTAAATCCTAGATTGACTTGTTTAAGTTGTGTTTCTGTTTATCTAAGCAATGATTTTACAGAATTAATTGGTCCTAAGGTCTTGAGAGAGTCAAGACTCATAGGGTTATGAAAGCTCTCCAAAAAAAGCCATAGAGGGCCTCCCCTGGTGGCGCAGGCAGTTGAGCACCGCACTGTGAAGCTGTCTGCAGCCTCTGCAGTGCCAGTTTGATCCTGGCCAGCAGGCAAGGGTCCCGCATAGCGGCAGACCTCTCCTGTTGCGCCCGCTGCTCCCCTCAGCAGTGTATTTCATCATTCTGCCTGTTCTGTTCCCCACTCTGTCTCTGGTGAATCCTCTCATCCTCCTGCACATCTGGGCTGTACCCTGGTTCTTGTATAAATAAATAAATCTTGAAAAAAAAAAAAAAACCCAAAAACCAAAAAAACTTAAAAAATCACATAAATCGGGCCTCCCCGGTGGCACAGCGGTTGAGCACTGGGTTGTGAAGCTGCCTGCAGCCTCTGTGGCACTGGTTCAATCCCCGGCTGCTCCCTGGCCACCAGAGGAAGGTCCCGCATGGCGTGCAGACCTCTCCTGCCACCCGCTGCTCCCCTCAGCAGTGTACTTCTGTCCTTCTGCCTGCTCTGCTCCCTGCTCTGGCTCTGGTGAATTCTCTCACCCTCCTGCGCTTCTGACTGTACCCAGTGCTTCCATAAATAAATAAAAAATAAATGAATAAATGAATAAATAAATAAATCTTAAAAAAAAAAAAAAGTCACATAAATCATTTGACCTAATTGGAAAGGAGGGCTTTTGGGCTCTAAAAAGGCTTCAAAATGCTGATAAGATGGCAAAAGTAGAATTTATATTTGTTTCTACATAGGTCTCTCAAAACAGTCACAGATATTTAAAAGTCACAGATATTTAAAACTTTTAAATAAAGAAGCTCAAACTCCTTGCAATTTCTTTGAAATGTGAGCCACAGCATTTTTTTTTATAGGTTAAGAAACAAGGTTTATAATGGAAATGCTGACACAACTATATTTATAACTTAAGAGTTAAGAAATAAGGATACCATAAAGTGACATTTCTAAATTCAAAGAAATATAGTAACCTACTACAGGTATAATAGCTTATAAAAATAGCAGCTATGCCCATATACAATATCTAGGAAGTGTAAGTTTCAGTTATTTACTACTGATTTACATAACACAGAATGCATCATTACAATCATTTTTATACAATCATCTATTCTATAAGTAGATATAAATAATCTCAAAAGTACATACTATGAAAAATAAACTCATTTCAGAATATAAAGAGTAATATTTTGATAAATCATATTAGAAATATAATGTTTAAAATACACATATTAGTGCAATATTGGCATAATTTGTACACATAATCATGAATGAATCTGTCTCCTTTTTTAAACTTCAACATTAAATGGATTTTTGCTGCTACAAGAACAGGTGTGGTTGAACAGTTCATGGCAGATTTATTGTTCATTAGTGATTTTGTATACTGCTTCTGCGGAGGTGTAAATAATTGGAACTGCCAAGATTGGTCTCTAGTTCACAATCAATACTTTGCTTCTGTCATAAGGCTAATTACAGCAGCTAAAAAGTCACCTCACAACTGTCACCTCACAATCAACAGCAGTTCACATTAGAGAATTTATTTTGGAGGTTATTTTTAGTTGATATAATAAATATTCCTATGCATCCTAAACAAAACATGCTTCAATAAAATCGGATTGTTATTCTTAAGTTGTTCCTGCTTGCCTAATTTGTTAGAAAGGGATAACTAACAAAACAAAACAAAATAAAAACAGGAGTACTGTAAAAAAAGTACTGAAATTTTTAAGTTTTGGAGTTTCTGGTAGAAATTAAGATTATGGGATTTTTTGTTTGACACTTCTATCTATCAGTTGTTGAAGTTATTAATTACCATAAGAAAATACCTTAAAAATTAATACTAAGAATTATATTACTTTGAAAATTACATATATTTATTTTATTACAAAGATATCATTTATGAAATCTCTTTGATTTTCAATAGTTAATATATATTTATATTGCTTAACAGTTGAGGTAGTTTTAGAAATTTGTAGAAATTAAGCAGTATCACCCTTTGAAAGAATCCTAAATTATTTAGAATACACTTAAAGGTTATCATAAATAAACACTGCTATTTAATTACAAGAATATCATGCTTACCCTGAAATGCAGGCTTATTCATACTAGCCATACGAGGACAGTAATGTTGACCTGGGAAGCCATGAATGTGAACTTCTAGTGGAACTGGACGTACAGATGGTCGGAAGTTGAACAAGCCCATCTAGAGTAAAAATGACAGTGAAACCATTTGGAGCTTATAAATATGTAAGTCTAAAATGCTATCATGCCTCCTTAATGCATCTATAAAAACCACACTATTGAATGTCCAATTTATCAATCTTGCACATACCTGATTAATATTGAGCCAGTCAGCAAGGTCTCTAGCATTAGCTAAAGCAGTAGATAGTCCAACTATTCTAACAGACTTTTCTGTGTGTGATGAGATGAAATTTGTTCGAGATACAATAACTTCTAGAACAGGGCCTCTTTCCTCTCCTAAGAAATAGGAATAATGTGTGTTAATCATTTAACACACCTTATTGCTGGTTACTGCAGGTGACATAGTCAAAGTTTGCAAAACTGGTTTCGGATACAGTGGTACCCACCAAGCAGATGGATCTCATCTATGATGAGAATAGTGACTTGCTTTACATAGTTCCGATTTTGCCAGCTTCTACTGACTCCATCCCACTTCTCTGGTGTGGTGACGATAAGGTCGGCCTTGGCAATGGATTTCATGTCAGGGGTCACATCACCTGTTAGTTCAATAACTCTGGAGACGAATAAAAGTGTTCCTTTTAGCTTTTCAGGTAGCAATAACTTTGAAGAGGCTAAAATATATTTTTCATAGTAAAATTATATAATGCTTAAGACTATTTTATCTCCCTTTGATTTCTGAAAATTTCTGAGTTATGTCCACGATATATATTCCTCACGAATTCTAAGATGATTTCCTCACATAAACTGAAGGATGTATAAGTTCAAATAACCTACCTTTTTTGCAGAAATGCAAAGGTAGCAAAATTTGTTTACAAATTTTCTGCCTTGAGGAATTTAGAGAAGTGAACTCATACTTCCTTCCTCATATGTTGGAATAAACACATTCTAATGAGGGAAAGTATTAACTTATCAAGACAAAAGGAGGCATTCACTAAGCATATGATTATGTATAAACTTAATTCTCACACTGAAATTTTCTATAGATACTATGGCAAATTCAAATATTTAAGACATAAAGAAGAAAGCTGGGCAAACATGTCAATTCATTCTGAGCAGATCACAGTTTTGCAAGTGAAAAAGTGGCAAATTTGGATGTTAACTCAAAATTTTAGGTCATCTCTAAAGAATTTTACATCTGTTTTAACACACAGAAGAGAAAAAGAGGGCAAGATCAGTTTCTCCAATTATAACGTTCCCAAAGTTTTTGCTTTATTTTTTTTTCATTTTTTACTTTCGTATTTCACTATTTTGAACATGTAATACATTCATATGGTTCCAAGAATATGTGATGGTTAGTATCTGTAACATGTCTATTCTCCAGTTACCCAGTTTTCATGCTAAAGCAACTGTATATTTATATTTTTCTAAAATCAAAAGACATGACACTTAAAACATTTTTTATAGTATTCTGGAGCTCATTCTTTTGGTATATAAAGAACTTATTCTTTTATGGAGTGATAAAATATTTTGCAGTGTAGGAATAATTTATTTAGTGACATTCTATTAGGCACTCAGGTTACCTGCAATCTTGGTATTAAAAATAGAACTAAAATGAATGATTTGGTACAATGTTTAAATATTTTGAAAAAGTAATGTTCTTCAAATATTTCTATTTTTTTTGTAAATTACCATAAAATGCCTTCTAAGTGGTCTTTGAAGTTACTGTGAATGATGCAAGAAAAACAGAGATATAATTTACATTTCTTTTGTTTCAGATTTTAAAATTATCTTACCATATAAAAGTATTCATATTAAGTAATTTAAATGGTTTTATTTATGAATCTTAAAATAATGGGTAGAAAACCTACAAAAATCATTGCAAAAGCATTTGCCAGTTTATTGCAAATTTTTTTGGTCTTCTTAGATTATTCAGAGCATATCCTTTGAAAAAAATAAGAACTTACTTTTTACCAAGTTTTTCTTCAATTCTAATTTTCCAATCATCCATTCTTTCACGTACTAAGGCTTTTAGGGGTGCAATATATACTGCCTAAAAGGTGGGAGTGGTAAAAGACTCTCATGAAAACAATGACAGCATTTTCAACAGAGGTAAACTCATTAAAATTTATCAAAATATGATCATGTTGTTTTAAAGTGTATCTTTTAGTAATGAAAGGCTTAAAATTTTAAATGGGAAAAAGTTATTAACTAAATCTATATTTATTTAAAGACAGAAATATAATACATCATAAAATAATGATATAGAAAAATTAAATAAATTTTTTGAAAGCAACATAGGTTTTTTTCTTTAGGTATTTTATAACAAACTTATCTTAACATTGTGAAAAAAATTAAAAATCATGAGATAATACATTACATAGGGAAAATTAGAATTCTAATAAAATGAAAGTTCTTCCTGTTATGACTAAGAGTTATCTGAGTTTTAACTCATTTACAAAAAAAGTTATTAATTTTGAAATTCTGAAGAGAGCGGGCCTCCCAGGTGGCGCAGCGGTTGAGCGCTGGGTTGCGAAGCTGCCCACGGCCTCCGAGGCGCCGGTTCGATCCCCGGCTGCTCCCCGGCCACCGAAGGAGGGTACCACATGGCGCGCAGACCTCTCCTGCCGCCCGCTGCTCCCCTCAGCAGTGTACTTCGGTCCTTCTGCCTGCTCTGCTCCCCGCTCTGGCTCTGGTGAATTCTCTCACCCTCCCGGCTTCTGACTATACCCAGTGCATGTATAAACCAAACAAACAAACAAATAGATAAATAAGACATGCCTCTAGAAAATTAAAAAAAAAAAAAAAAAAAAAAAAAAAAAAAAAAAAGAAATTCTGAAGAGAATAATTCTGGTTAAATTTTATGAAAGGTTATTAGTTGTAAATTATTCTTTCCTTTATGTTATAAAATGTTTCAAATTTAGAATAGAACTCTGCTGTTGCATCAGGATTTCTCCTAGTGAATCAACAACCATATAATAACTGAGGAGTCAAAATCTTAAAAATAAGCAGAGGAGAAAAAACACTAACTGGAATTCCATGAAAAAGGAAATTAAAACATTTCTGAAATCACAAACAGTACATAATTCAAGTTATAACATATGGATTATCTTTCTTGAAAAAATTGCTTTTAAGCAGTGACTACATCACATTTCAACAGAGCTTAAAATCAATATTTATTTGACTTGCCATATACTTTTATATTAACTAATCCTATCATGGCCATTTGGAGAAAGGTGGGATAAAAGTTACCTCTATATTTCCTGTATATAATCAAAATGTATTTGTTAAAATATCAGCATTTCCTTCATAGTCAAAAATTAAACTATGAATCATTGCATATCTTATAAATAAGGCTATGAATTAAATATTTTACAATGAAATTGCTTACAAATCACAGATCTCTCACAATGTGAGCACCAACATGTATGTTAGAAACTGAACTAGAGGATTCCTCCGAAGTTTAAGGTAAGTTTCCTTGTTCTAATATTGGAGAATACAGTATATTATTCTAATACCTATCTAACCCCCCTGGAAAATTGACTAGTGAATGACAAATCTACTCATTGAGTAGGGTTAGTATATTTAGAAGCAGCTGGTTGACAGAGGATGAATGACTTATCCAATTGAATGTAAGCATGTGATTCTTTCAAACAGACCTTTGAAGTAGGGTACTTGTTGAAGACTCTGAAAATAGCTAATTCAGCTGCAACAGTCTTTCCTGATCCAGTGGGTGCTCCAAGTAGGACATTACAGTCTGTGTGATACAGTGTATGAAAGATTTGTGTCTGCACAGGGTTAAAGTGGCTGAAGTTGTATAGTGCTTCATATGCTTCACATCCCAGAGCTGTGACTGGTAAAGGCTGAAGGTCCAGTAATTCTGAAAAGACATAATGTACTGTTGTAACTGGAGAATATTCATAATACTGAATGTTGTATTTTAGGAATTAATTTTAACAATTTTTAATTCTTAGGAGGAAAACAAAAGCTTAATACAAATTTTTATATATTAGTTACGAACCTCCTCTGCCACCTCCCATTACCACATAGGTAATACTGTAATACTGACATACTGGCTACTGTGGGGGAGTTCCTTTAAGTAAACTATAATACTGTATCTTTCCAATAAGGAAAGTAAATGGAGTGACATGTATATAAAAATATGTATATTACAGAACAAAACTAAATCTACCTCAATTTGTAGAGGTACAAACTTCAGTACTAGAATGGTTACTAGTAACACATTACTTTTGATCTGTTTTAGGTAATTGACCAAAACCCCAGCGGCTGAGCGAGTTGTTGCTATAGTAAAAAAAAAAACAGAAACAAAACCTAAAATGATTCCAAGAAGAAACTTATGTGGGAGTTTTAAATCAGTGTATGGGAGTGGGTAAATGGGAATTGCACTGAGAAAAGATGGAAGAAATTAGATTTAGTTATATCTTATTATATAGACCAGAGGTTTAGATTAGAAAGTTAAAATGATCTCAAGATATAAAGTTATATTTATATACCCTTAAATTTAAAAGACCTTGTATTTTCATATGATACAGAAGGAATCAATTAGAAAATCAGAAGGCAGATTTAGTCTCAGAATTATTTATTTCACAGAGGATGACTCTACTCATGTGAAGTTTAAGTGAGAAGGAAAATAAAATAAGGAGACACAGTGGCCTGTATGTTGAGCTAGACCTTTTATTAGTTTCAAAATAGAAAGTATAGAAAATTCTCTTCTCAAAAAAGTTACTTAAAGGTAAGCTAGCTAACGTAAAAAAAAATACTATCTTAATCCACTTCTCACTTCTCCTCTTATATAGGTAACTGAGCATTAATGCATGCTTTCTACGCCAGATTATAATCTCCCAAATTTTCCTGTAACACTGAAAATGAAAAAAGGGAGGAAGTCTTCACTTGCAATGATAATCAAAGTATAGACATATCCTTAAGACTAGAAATTCAAACATTTTGCATATGTAAAATCTATGCTAAATTAATTTTAAGAAGTACAGAACTAAAAATCACTGAGGTTACATCATGCAAATAGAACTGGGAATCACTGAGGTTACATCATGCATTTCTAATATCAATTGAGATGTCATGGTGGTGCATTTATTACCTTTAAAATGTACTCAGAAATCAGCTAATTATATAAATAGGGTGACATATGCTTGGTCACTCAGCAGAGAAGTGATTGAATGAACATTAAAATATAATGCTAATACATGTTAAAATCAAGTACTGCAGCCAAAGTAGCAGTGATGTTGGTAGTGTATATTTTAAATTAAAACACCAAACATTTTTATATATTTTTATTTTGAGATTCCAGATGTCACATGTATTCATATTTGATAAAAGAAACCAGAAAGGTCCTCTTCAGTGAAGTAGATTAGTAGATATAGCAATCTCATTACCTTTCTGTATTGACAAACTTTTTAGTTCTGCTCTGTCGAGATCAAGTGGTATTAAGCTGTTAGACTAAAGTATCTCTCTGTAAAATATGCTAGACAATGATTAAGGTACAGATATGACAAAGATTAAAGTCACATTAATGCCTTCTTTCATTTTCCTAAGGACTGTCAAATAACGAATTCATTAAATGTGGTAAGAACTAACATTTTTGTTCTAAAAAAAAGTTTGTTTTGGAAGAATTATATGGAAAAAAGTTCATTTTATTTTTCAATAGAAGTAAATTAATATATTGAATTAAATGCTCAACAATGATGAACTGTCAATGAAATGAAATAAACTTTATATACTAATTAACAGATTTCATGATATTTTGGAAACAGAGTATTTTATGGGGTACTTAGAAGTATTGTAAACATTCATGAAATTTTGGCTTCTTTTACAAGTCTAGAAAAGCCCTCACTTATGTTATAAAAATCTAAAGTAACTAAATTAAGAGTCAAAGACTAGCTTAAACACTAATCTTGATAGCTGATTACAGAATGGAAGCACCAAGGAGTAAGAAGATAGAGGAGGGGTAAGAAAAAGGAGAAAGGAAACACAATGGACTATGGTGAGTTGTTGGTGGGTACGCTGTGATGGTGGTAATACCTGATGAGGGTATCCAAACATTATGTCAATTAAAAATAAAAATAGTTTTAAAAATTCTAAAATGGACGTTTCTTAGTTATGACAATGCAAACCACTGCTAATATGAAATTACAGATTGCTGTAACTCTTTTATAATGTGAGTGGAAATGAAATACTATAGAGGGTACATATTGTTTATAGGACACAAATTGATTTGGGGAATATGTGAATTTGGGATATAGTGATATCACAGCATGCCTCCTTAGTAATAACACTTTTTGGTGCAGAAGCACACTAGATGCAGGAAAAATGCTTTACTATTCACTTTAAATAATGGTTTTAACAGAGTTTTAGTTAAAATAAGTTGAAAGTAATATGGTCACTTTAGAAATAAGATTAAGTAAATTACAACAAAGGTAAGAAAAGGATATCTGAAAAGTTTCACAGAACACAGATTAAATGATACATGCTACTTATAATGAAAAAGGAACGTGGATGTGGATAAACGTGGACAGATGACAATGATCATGTGTAAAAATAGAGAAAAAACACAGTAATACAGAGAGTCCCATGTTTACTGGAATTATCAGAATTGAACTTGACTTAGTTTAATATTTTTGGAACACAAAACTGAAGGCTACCATTAAGCTCTACAAATTGTACACATACATAGATTTGATTCTGAAAAGTCTCTTCAAATTATATTGGCAAATAAGTTGGATTTTTGATTCAGATTTAGACAACTTTAAAAGCACAGGTACTTCTCAACATTCATTAAAACAATTTTGGAAAATCAAATGATTCAAGTTACTGTTCAGTGTTACCTGTATGGGGAGGATGTCTCTCTGGTAGAATCAGATGTTGAAAGTTGATGATACATACAGCTTCAGCTCCTAGCCATCTATCAGACACTGCTCGAATGTAGTATTGGGAAGGCAAAGGCTCAAAAATAGGAATTGTAAACACCAGCATTTGTTTTTCTTTACTAATGACCTAATGTGAAATAAAGTAAAAAATAAATATGTATATTTCAATATCATAAAGATCTTGTTAGTCTGTGGTTAAGACAATGGTATCTACAGCAATATATGATAAAGGTAAAGAAAATATCTTTAATTTCTAAATAGCTGCGGCAAATATATTTTACAAATTTGTGGGGTGAAATGAAATTCTATCCAAAGCTCCCACCTTGAAGCTTACTTCTCTTTTTTCAGTTAAAAAACACAGACTTTTATTTCTGTATTGAAAGAATTATATAAAACTCAGAAGATTAATATGGAGAACTGCAGTGTATCATGACATAATGACCAGTGTATAACAAGTGAAAATATTTTGATTTTTCTTTCAGCTACCCAGTGACCACAGATAGGGTTTTAGTTAGACATGCTAATATCAAGGTGAATCTTTTCTCCCGGACTTATAATTTAAAAAGGGATGCCCTTTTCAGAATGGAATTCAATTATTTTTTAGTTCTGTGTTCAGGTAATACCTTAGTTATTATTCTTATTTATTTTTAAATTATTTATACTACCCATATTCCCTTTGGAAGCCATGCTTTAACTCATGATAAACATTACAAAGCAATTTCTTACAATACAATTAAATTGAATATAACAATACTGTAACAATTATTGTTTTTAAAAAACTAAGCAGAAATATAAAAATAGTATATAAAGTTTTAATGGCACTACATAATTATGGAGACATGAGCAGAAATAAAAACCGCTATTTAGTTTATATTTTCTTGTTACAGCATAAAATATATGATAGGGATATGGCAACATATACATATTTACCTGTTTTTTCAGAACTAGAAAGTACTCTGAATGATATATATGGTCATTTGTAGGATCTTCTACCCAAATCCACCAGGGTTCACCTACTGTCCCATGAACCTAGAAGACAAACAGTATCTTAATACCACATATATTATAACTCAAATAAGGGATACTGTTGTTTGTTTACCAAGCACCCATTCCTCTTACTTAACAGCTTTTTTGATAGATAATTTACCTAACAATGTTTACATTTAAAGTATATATATATGTATATTTATAAAGTTGTGTCATTATTTCTATAAGGTAATATTTGAACAGTCTCATCACTCCCCAAAAAGAAACCCTGGACCTATTAGCAATCACAACCTATTTTCCTCCATCCCACTAAGATCTGACTCTTGACAACCACAATCTAATTTCTTCCTCATTTGTCTGTTCCAGACATTTCATATAAATGGAATCATATATGAACTTTCTGTGGTCTATGTCTTTCACTTACCACAATGTTTTCAATGTTAATTCATATAATTCATCAGTACCTTATTTCTTTTCACTGACAAGGAATCATCTATTGGAGAGGTATATTGTATTTTGTGTATTCATTCTTTTCTCTCTTTCTCATAACAAAACGTAGTCTTGGTCAGTGTTCATCTCAATTTCATGTCACTCAGGAGATGGTTACCCCATATTCAAAGATAACTTTAAATAGCATAAACCAATCAGCGTACTGCATATACCTGACAATAGCTGCAGTAAGGGAGAGGCACATGCCCAATACTGGCCCAATTACACTGAAGGAAAGGTGTAAGTGTATAAAATGTATAATGGCATAATTAGCTGGTGAAGTGGGAGTATTTATCTCTGTCTTTAAATGTGAACAGGAGGCATAAAAACATTTGGAAAGTAGTCATTAGTGTCAGCAGAGCAAAAGGATGAAAAGATTTTGGCCTTTGAATAAAATCCTCAAATAGAAGGTTCAATCATTTTTAGGATCTAATCACTTGTGGACTTTTCACTGTGGAAGAAATATTTTCTTGCATAAGTCAGTTTGAGACAAGTCATTTTTTCTATTCTTTTGGATTTAATTATGAAAACAATTAAGCACTCTAACTTCAGTAATAAATTAATCCAAATTGTGAGAAATTTATTATGGATATGGATAGAAGACAACAATGTAAAAAATACTAAACTTTTATGTATTTCAAAAAATTTTCTTAAATATTAAACCTTAAATGAATTTATGGTTAATGATAATTTTGTATTTTATGCATGAGATACCATCTTACACCAGTGAGAATGGCACATATTAAAAAAACTAGCAACAACAAATGTTGGTGAGGGTGTGGAGAAAAAGGAACTCTTCTGCACTGTTGGTGGAAGTGCAAACTGGTCCAACCACTATGGAGAGCTGTGTGGAGATTTCTGGACCTACTAAACATAGAGCTTCCATATGATCCAGCAATTCCACTCCTAGGTATTTACCCAAAGGACACAGAAACATCAATTCCAAAGAACACCTGCACCCCTATGTTTATAGCAGCACTATTTACAATAGCTAAGCTTTGGAAACAGCCCAAATGCCCAAAAATAGATGACTGGATCAAGAAGATGTGGTACATATACACCATGGAATATTACTCAGCATTCAAAAAAGATAAACACATGCAATTTGCAGCAACATGGATGGCGTTGGAAGGGATCATGCTCAGCGAAATAAGCCAAAAAGAAAAAGAAAAATACTGGATGGTCTCACTCATAGCAGGAATCTAGAAAACTTAAATAAGGGTCCAGGAAAATGAATATAAGAAAGTGAAAATCAAAATCAACAAAAAACTATGAACCAGAGACACTTTTTGGGGGTGGGGGGCGGGAGGGGAGGGATTGGGGTCAGAATGGGGTGTTTGCAATTGTATGGGGGAATACAAAAATAAAATTTATTATTTAAATTAAAAAAAAATAAATAAAATGGAAAATTAAAAAAAAAATTGCTGACTGAATGAAGAACTCTAGGGATGGACTGTAAGTGCTTTGGTGGTGGGTGTGGTATAATAACAACAACAGATACTATACTCTAAAACACAAATAATGATGTAAACCAATTTTAACTCAAAAAAATAAATAAGAGGATCAAGAGTAGATCTTCATAAATATAACATCTATGATTCTGAAGAAAGTTTGGCAGGTGTAAAAACAGAAACAGGAATGTGATGGCAGCCAAGAAAGGACATCTTCAAAACTATGTATAGTGCTAAATATCAGGAGTAAAGGAAAGTAAGGAAAAGGTCCTTTATTATGGCAATCATTTGGGTTTTGGTAATGACTAAGGAAGTAATCTCAGCAGTAATGAAACATGTGACCAGGAGGAAAATGTAGAATACTCATTTTATAAGTCTAATGGTAAAAGGAAATACGAGAATGATTTGAGTTTGAGACGTAATCAGGATTTAAAAGGGCTCTTTCAGCATGCAGCACCTAGAATTATTAGGCTAATAGAGCAAGGAGAGGTGGCAAAAATGAAAACAGAAAATAAAGACAGAATTAAGAAAAGTCCCTATGGAGCTGAGTCCACTAAATCATTGCTCAATATTCATATTTTAGGTTTCCTAGATGTCCTGAAGGGGTCTCATTGGTTAATAATTTACAATATCATATCATACATTTTTCCTTGAGGACAGCTAAATATTACTATAATGTTTTTAATGACTCTTCAATATATACTTTTTTGGGGAGGATTTTCTTCATGCTTGAGGACAGACATAAGGAGGTACACTGAACCTGCAGTATAGAAATCTAGGGGTTCTCCACTTTTACCTGATCGTTCCAACTGAAATCAGGACAGACGCTGAGTGTCACTCGGAGGACAGTCCGCGTGATGGGCTGAATGGATGCTTCCATTGTTACAGAGGGAATCTGATGAACGCATTGTTTGACCTTGAGTCCAATATTCACATGATGCAGCATGTGACCTGTAAGGAAAACACATAGAAGAAATGTGTCCAGACAGAAAAAAAGTAATATAATCTGACTTGTAAATGGGTTTCAGAGCAGGTGATTTTATTGCTTGTTTTATGATTTGCTATGTAGAATAGTTGACATTCTTGACCTGGCATGTTTGAATATTTTGTAATAGTTAACTCAAATTAGCAATTCATAGCTCTGAAAACCAGTAACAAGGTTTCTTCATCTATTAATAGGGTTCTTAAAATTACTGAAACTTTATTGTCCTTAAATTACTATAAGCAGTTCCACTTTTCTCCTAGTTTATGACACATTATGGATGTATTTAGTTATTTGTAAAAATAACCATTAATTTATTCAAAGTCTATTCAGAGCTCTATAATTATGATGGGAAATGCTTTAGTAATCAAGTACATTTCAACCATCCACACCCATTTTCAGACAAGATAAAGAACAATATAAAATATGGTCAATCTAGCATAAAATCAACCCCTTACATGCATTTTTTTCAGAAAAAAAGATAAAATATAAAAATATGGTCAATCTAGCACAAAATTAACCACTTACATATATATTTTCATAAATGATTCGGTTCTGAAACACAGCTATGTATGGGAGTACTGGATCGGGGCAGGGACCACAAAAAAGGTGTGACTAAGATTAAAGATTTTTCTATTCTGGCCCAATCAACAAAGATATTTCATAAAATATCTTAAAATGCACTTATGAACAAATTAAAGTACTACATATTCACCCAAATTTGAAACTAAAGTGATCTTCCTTATCTTTATAAAATATTTATGTTACCCTAATGTAAGTACTTTCAATTTCCCTAGTTAATAGCCCCAATTTCAGTGTATTTATGTGAACAACTCCCTTCTTCCACTCTGTCTTAGCAGCTAGTTTTCTCATTATACAGTGAAATAACTATCTCAGACTCTCTGTATCTTTGGGCCTTGTGTCAGGAGTAATCTTGCCGCTCATTTCTTTTCAGTCAGATTCCCTTCATCCTATTCAGAATGTGAAATATTACCTAATCTATATATTTGCCAAATAAGATGTTAAGGTACATGGAAATGCATAGGAATAACTTTTTAATATTATGTGAAAAAAGGCAGATGACCAAATGCTGTTTCCACACAGATACCAAGTGGGTTTAAAGATAAATGTGTGTAATGATGACGTTCACTTAGAAACTCTAAAGAAATGTTCAGTTTAATGTTGATTTTTTTCTGTAACAATTTATTTATTTATTTATTTATTTTAAAGATTTATTTATTTATTCATACAAGCACTGGGTACAGTCAGAAGCGCGGGAAGGCGAGAGAATTCACCAGAGCCAGAGCGGGGAGCAGAGCAGGCAGAGGGACCGCGAAGTACACTGCTGAGGGGAGCAGCGGGCGGCAGGAGAGGTCTGCCCGCCATATGGGACCCTCCTCCGGTGGCCGGGGAGCAGCCGGGGATCGAACTGGCGCTGCTAAGGCTTTGCGCAGCCTCGCAGCCCAGCGCTCAACCACTGCGCCACCAGGGGAGGCCCTTTCTGTAACAATTTAATAATAGACACAACAGAAGACTTTGCAATGAATTGGGAAATAGAGAATAAACTTCATGTAAAACACTTAAGGGTTTGACAATCTAAACTCCATTCTGCTAATTCTTTCAGAGAGCATTGTAAAACTTATAGGGAGTTCTGCATGAGTTTAAATAAAAAATAAATTTCAATAAAAAGGTAAAAGTTCATCTTGAGTAACATGAAAATTCATAAGACATTTCTTTTACATCTAGTGAAATATTTGCACAGAACACCACATTCAAACATTTTGTTTTTGTCTTACCTATTTCATCTTTCCTCATGTCTTTCAGCTTGTCCACACTAAGATTTTTTTCCTCTAATCTTGTTAGAATGTGTGGTGGTAAGGTTGAAAATTGCCTCAAAGGGCTAGCCCAACCCCAGAGCCTCTTGTCGATAACTTTACTAAGATTCAGGAGCTTGTAGGTCATGGCAGGCCAACGTTTCCTCAGAGCAATTTCAAAAAGAGCACGGACAATTCTAGCTGCATTCTGAAGAATAAAAAGGAGGAATTGGTTGTTAGGTCCAATGTGCTTTTTTTTTTTTTTTTAAAGATTTATTTTTATTTATACAAGAACCGGGGGTACAGGCCAGATGCGTGGGAGGGTGAGAGGATTCACCAGAGACAGAGTGGGGAACAGAACAGGCAGACTGATGAAATACACTGCTGAGGGGAGCAGTGGGCGAGACAGGAGAGGTCTGCTAGCAATGTGGGTTGTTCTGAGGCTGGGGATCAAACCAGCACTGCAGAGGCTGTGGACAGCTTCATAGTGCTGCGCTTAACTGCCTGCGCCACCAGGGGGGCCCAGGTCCAATGTGCTTTTAAATTCCTAAATAAATTTATTACTGCGACTCAGTTTCTAAAGAAGCATGTCAAGCTTCATCTTTTCATTGTGGGCAACATCTATTTCTATATGACTTTAAAAATCCTTATTATTTCTAAATCGGAATAATCGTGTCCTTTACATGTGGATGTTATCCTATTTCCAGGTTCTTTGAAGCTCTACTCCTACACACCCTAAACAGGATAGAAGTAGAAAGAGACAAAAGGCATGTAAAGTATCAAGGAGACTATTGAGGCAATCTAGACAGCTTAGGAGATGCCTGAGAACAAAGTAGAATACTTCAATTTATAATGCCATTTAGAGAAGCAATAAGGAAGACTTTGGGATCTAGTCAGGAGGAAGAAAAATTAGTGAAAGAAGGTAACAAAAGAAACATTGATGAGTGAACCTACCCACATTAATGGTTTCCTATAAACCAAACAAAGTGATAACTGCTTTTCATATATTTTGTCATTTAATCTTTATAACACTGCATTTGATTGGCTTTGATAGTGTGATTTTATAGATGAAGATAATGATCTTTATAACTTTATAAAGGTCACACAGATGGTTAAGCCAGGTCTACACATTACCAATCTTAACCCAAAAGTCTAAATACAGTGGTCTGAGGATAACTTCTTTTACAGACATACAAAAAAGTTACAAAGATTGAAGCCCATTTTCATACCTCCGCAGTTAGTTTCCATTTGTTTTGCCTCTTCTTTTCAAAAAATATTAACTTATTATTATTATCTGTTTATTTATTTGAGGTTAACACTGGTTTATATCACTGTATGTAATCAGAGAGATAGATTCAAACCTCCTCAGATGCACATCATGCCACACCCACCTTAGAGCACCCATATCCCTTTATCATATATCATTGGTCTCCCTCCTCACTTTGTTTCCATCCCCCATGGAATATTCAAAACAAAAGAACTGAGAAAACTAAGCCTCCTTCCTTCCATCATTAACTTTGCGGACTGTTTTATTGAAGACTGTTTCTATAATCATGGACTTGGGAGATACCTTACAATATCGAATGACATCTGTATTTGAAAATGAAGAATTTTGAATGTGGTTCAAGTCATAAAAAAAAGATGAAAAAGAGCAAAGATTTTAAATAGCAAAAAGATGATCCAGTCTGAAATAATGAGATCAAAAACGATCTGAGCTAAGGGCTTTGGTTTTGTATTTTATATAAAATATGTATTTGTCTTTTGACAAATCCAATATTTTGTTTCAGTTTTAGAAATTTAAGAATAAAAACTACATTAGAAGTATGAGTACAGTTCTGACATTCATTAAAAATGACAGACAGTTCTGAATAGGCCAAGAAAATGATACATAAAATAAACATTTTGATTATTATACCAGTCAAATAGGTCTTCTTATATTTCTAGTTACTTCTGTATACAACTGCCAGGCTAATTCTCCCAATTTTGCCTGAAAGTGTTTTATTTTTATATTTCAAAGCCTATAGTTGTTTTGTAAAAGCTAAACAAAATGGAAGGAGAAATGTCATATGACAATATACAAATAGGACATTTTAATCTGGAATGAAATTAATTGGGTGGGAATAATAAACTCTAATATTTATGGTGTAAAGAAGTTACACAGATATCTCTATAAAATCACGGGATACTTGAAAAGGATTCTAGGATAGATATAAATTTATCTAGGATGCTGAAAGAATAAAGTTTCAGAAATACAGAAGGAAGCTCCATTTTACAAAGCTGAGAAGCTTTGGAATTACTGATGACTTAAAATACGAATAGACTCAAGAATAATTTATGTAATGCACCGAAGGATGATAAACCCAAAATTGCTATTTAAAAATAACCAGGGACATTTGAGATATAACCTTAATCTACTGAGAGTGGCTTTATGAGCACCAAACATGAAGAAACCATAAATTTAATATTGTAAAGCAATTTGTATATCAGTCTCTGATAATATCTTTATAATCTTGTATCAAGCAGAAATGCGGTCAGATTATTCATCCAGAACTCAGTAAAACTTTACTTTTTAGTTAAATCATTAACTTTTTCAATATAAAATCATTGGAAAATACAGTGACAATATTATTTCTCAGAAAAACAGATAAAACACAAGTTAGAAACAATGGTTCCTATAGGAGCTATAGAGTTCGGGGAATACATATGGTTTCTATAGCAGAAACATGTGTTCAAAGATGGGAAAAAAAGTTTTTACCATGTCCACATTTTCTTTATATAGAACATGAAATTGTCACTTGGTATCTTGGTTACTTTGATTAAATTACCACCTTCATTCAATTTGTTTGCCAATAGATCTTGGCCCATGTTTGTAAACATTTCATATGTACAGTTATTTCAAAGAACTCCTGGGTATTCATGGCTGTTAATTTATTTAACACAAACATACTTTTCTATAAAGTCTTTCAACAAAATACATAGCATACCAGTTTCTATATTTAAAATACCATTAAGCTTTTATTTCTTAACTTAAAGGTGGCATTACTCAATAAAAAATGATAAAGATATCTTTGATAAGCACTTTTAAAAACGTACATTTGTACAAGAAGCCTTTAATTTGAAAGGTACATACTGGCCCCCAAACCCACAGCAAACAACAACAAATATATCCTTTTTACTTCATATGGGGAACTGAACTCAAAAACATAAATATCAGAACATTTTACACTATGGTATTTCTTAAAAGGTATATATTTAGTGATCTGAAATTTAGGAAATAGTTTTCTTTTAGTCTTCAATTTAAGTATCAATAGTAGGGAAAAATATTTTTTTTCAGAGACATCAGACTGAGTATACGGTATGAGATATATTTATTAATCTTTATTTAAGGTCAATTTTTTTTGTTTAATTTCTAACATTTGGAGAAAGCTATAAAGGTTCCAGACTTTTTTTAAAAAAAAAATCTTGTGTCATTGCTCTTTATAAGTAAAAGAAATGAACTATAACATTTAAATCAAGAAAAAAAACAGATACTAATTTCTTAAAACTCTAAAATGCAAGCAATAGGAATATCAAAATGCACCAAATCAACAACTAAATCCAACCAATCATTCATGCTTCTGATTTAGAGAACATAAAAAGAGATGCACAAGTTATACAGAACTAGTCTAAAATACAAGGGTAATTTGGTAGAATGTTACAATACATTATGTTCATAGCATAGCATGAATTAATTTCTTGAGTCTCTGAAAAATACACAAGGAAAACAGGAAGGGAGTAATATCTTACCTGTGCAACATATGCCGAATCTGATATAAGGGAAAAACTGTCCATCTCTCCTCGACTGATATAAGTTTGTAGTAGGATATTTATTTTCCCATAACTGTTCTCAACACCTCCAGGAGCCGAGAGCTCACAGAAATTGTTTAATAAGGCATCTAACTCCTCTATTTCCTCTTCTCTGACCTGGAAGAATCAATGTTTTTATAGGATTATTAGGGCTGATTCATTGAAATTTTTCATACTGATGTTAAAACTACTTTGCACGCTTTAAAAAAGTTTCCAATTTACTATAAATCAACATGTTCTTTTTGTATAACTAAACAGTAACATTTCCCCCCACACAGGTAGCTAATAAAATACAAGATGAGACTATCTTGAGGTTGATACAATTACATTTTTTTATTCATCACAATATTAAAGTTGCCATTGACATATAAAAATTTGATATGCCACAAAAATTAAATCTTCTGACTTCACCATCTTTCAGTTGATGAGATTTCATTTTTTATTTGACCAGAGTAAAACCTCTGCCCAACTGGATTAGGACAAACTTGAATTATCTTCAAATGCATTCATTATAGTCATATCATTTTATATGGTATAACACATTCATAGCTTAATGCTATGAAGTACTAGGATTCAAAGCATTAAAGTTTTCACTGTTAATAAGATTAAATTATAATATGGGCATAGAAATATTCATATGTAAGTTTGAATCATGCATGTCCTATATATTTTCTTCAGCAAACCTTATATTGCAAATAATTCAAAATCGACATACTATATTCTTTAATACTTTTCAGTATTGTAAACCTATTTAAATTTTTTGATTTGCAGTACAGTGCAAAGAATTATGTCAGACATGACATAATACAATATAATAATTTAGAATAATGGATATTGTTGATGAGAACACAGTGATACTCCAAATGTAAAGTACCATATAGCTTATATTGTATCAGGAATAACAACTGTAAGATTTTTTAAATGAAGGAAGGCATATATTGATATATGTTACATATATTTGACTCAAGCTTTAAGTAATCCTACCTTGATCTGATCAAATTCTTCAGCTTTGGAGACTATAGCAAGAATATCACTCTCTGTTTTGTGAGCATCAAATAGTTCATTGAAGGTCTACAAAGTAAGTGTTATATATGATTAAAATAAAGGTCCAGTGAAATGTTTTATATTAAAAATATGATTTTAAATCACATATTCTTAAAGAACATTTGAGCACTAGATAATGCAGTTTTATTTGTGACATACTATTCTAAATCATTGCTCTATTAACCTAAAAGTCATTAAATAGCTTTATAAACATAAAAAAATTTATTAAACACTAAAAAACCTTCCTAAGACATAATTAGCCAGGGAAGACTTTTAAAGCAAAAAGATCAGCAAAATCAATTACTAAAACCTACCATTAGATACTTTTTAAAATAGTAAGCCCAACCTTCTGGTTTTTGCTCATTTTCAGCATGGGTACATGGAAATCTACACTATCCATCAACTATCAGCTAATCATGCACCATATAAAAGTCATAGAGGAAGACCTAAAAATATGTAACTTGAAGATCCTGCCAAAAAAATCACAATATTACTAGTGAGGAAACTGGGAGAGTAGAAAATAGAAACAGTAGAAAACTAGGAAAAATGTTTTGGATTAAGGAACCATCAGATCACAGTTGTGAGGAAATATATGTTAAAAAACTTTGAAGATTATGTTAAGTGTGATGAGTCAGATGGAGAAAGAAAAATACCAGAGGATTTCACTCATAATGAGGAATATAAAGAAATAAAACAAATAATAGAAAAAACTAAACCAAAACAAACCATAGAAATTTGACTATAAAATTGAAGCTACCAGAAAGGGAGACTGGAGGTGGGTAGCAAAGTGGCGGGGAGCCCCAATGGACTATGATGGAAAGTATGGACACTTTGCTGGGGGGGTGTGGTGTGTAATATACATCTGAAGAGGTGTGAGCCTACATCTGTGTAATATTCAGACAGTGCTGTATACCAATATTACCTCAATATAAAAAATAGAACTCAAAAGAAAACACAATAGATAAAAAAAAGACTTTGAAGAAGCCTAAACTGCTACGCAAATACCAGGTTTATTTGCAAAAGATGAGGAAAAGCTAGTAACCACACAAACATTTTAAAAAACTCTTATAAGTAAGTCCATGTTAAACAAGTACAAAACCTAGATTTCATATTAAGTCCAAGTTTAAGATTTCTGAAGAAATTTCATCTTAATGATTTCCATTACTTTTTCCATTTAAAAAACAGTTTTAGGTACAAAATTAAAAATGAATACATGGAAAAAATCCATACTTCTATAAAAAGAATCAAGAGTAAAAATTCATATTACCCATCTCTACAATTTTAAGTCCTCTCCTCAAAGTAATTACTATTAAGTTTTTCCATTTAATTACATGCATATGTATATACACCACACATGAAGGCATGAAAATACTCTCTAAAATGTAAAAATCACAGTGGCACTCATTCTTGCATAAAATTATGTTAAGAGGTAAAAAGCAACACTACAATTGTGTAGTCAAAATTAATCTTGAAAATCTCTTAAATTTCTTTTAATTTTATTAGTTTTTATAATTCATCTTATCAGTATTTCTCACTAACCAGTAGTTAATTTTTCAACTTTTCTTTGAGGACATCTTTAAAGCATCACCTCCCACTTCAAAACATTCAGGTATTCCTTTCACAGGTCTCACTAACAAGCTCAACTGTTTTAGGCCTGGGTGTATCTCCTACTTTGGGTACACTCATTGAACAAGATGGCAAAAGGGTCCTTAATACATAAAGTCTTATATCTTTTGTACCTTTACTGAGTGCATGCTACTGAGTTCATATAAGTTAAATGCACATTGTTTTATTTATAAATTTTGTTGTTCTGCATTAATACTGTATTTTGAGGTTTAGAAAGTATTTGCATCTAAGAACAATGTATTATTGTATTAGTTCCACTGAGTATAATACCTCAATGGTGTTGTATTTAATATAGTAGTGGCTGGCAGTTCTACCCAAATCGGTTGAGGAAAAATATCCAGTTCTCTCCTCAAAACGAATCATCCGAGCTTTGTCTAATTTTCGTCCAACTTCAATAACCAGCTGTTCTCGATGTTTTGCTAATGCTGGGTCCATCTATAGGAAAAAAAATATAAACACTTGATTATTTCTTTAGGAAGTCATCATTTGTAGAGGCATACCTATTTATGGGGATAAAAAAGTTTTGACGACACTTCAATTACAATGAGCTTTTTATATTTTTAAAAAGAAATGCATCTTTGTAAATTTAGGAAACAACTAGAAAATATTTTATTCTGTTAAGTAGGATACAAACATTTAAATAATTTTTATATTTTATAGAATATATGATATCTAAAATATGAAAATTCATTAAAATGATCAATGTGAACATTATCTTCAAATAGCAATGTTTTATAATCTAAAATTTATATATGGTCTTACATAGTCTTTAAGATTATAAAGACTAGAATCAAACAGCAATGCAGTCCTCCCTCCCACACTAAAATATTTAAAAACATCAAACCAGATTCTTACAGTATCTTACAGTATCTTACAGTCTTTTTTAAGAAATAATAAAATTGCTTTCCTCTATCAAAGTAAAGCTATACAAAAATGCAAAATTTTCTTTTCAAAAGCATGGTTTACTATTCAACAGTTTTCATAACTGCTGACGGGAAACCCACTTTGCCAATATGACAGAATCACAGAGTAAAATGAGGTTTACAATGAATTTCTGAATAATTTTGAACCTATTATATGAAGCTTTTCTACACAGAAAGGTATTAACATTCTCATTACTGTGATGTGCGTAAATATATGTAATTATGTATGCATGTATGTACATATACATACATGTACACATGCCATGTCCTGGAGAACACTCTCTGGTAATGAGCAATAAAGTAAAATACAACCTTTAATGGTAGAGGAGAGAATATAAAATATATTAGAAATCAATTCATGAGTTAATGCCCCTACCATTATTCTAAGGTACATTTTTATGGCAGTTTATTCATGTACAAATGTACATGAATGTACATGAAAACATCCCATTAATTACATTATTACTAAAGCATTAAAAACATGTTAAAGGACATGATCTGTATTATTTCATCTGAGTTTTGTGGTTGCAAATTCATACTGAATAATTAAATGAATACACATAAGTAAAAGAAAAATAAAAGGTAAGAGGCTCTGAATTGTTAGGGTAGCAAAACTATGTATCTAGGAAGAAAAAATATCACTTTATCTTGGAAAATTAAACAAAAATGACTTCTGATATTAACTTATTCCTTAAAAATTAATTGATATGTTTACCTTGTCCTAAGACTTCAGATGGCTTAGCCTGTGAAAGCACATGTTGTATTTTGTTTTGCTTTACCACTTGAGAATATTTTCATAGTGCCACTGACTAGTTCACAAATCCCTTATTTGTAAGGAGAAAAGCTTGTGTGAAATTCTGTAAAACTCATGATTACAACGCATCTACATTTTATAAATGAGAGCAATTTAACTCTAAAAGAAGATACTTATTAAGATTAGCACACATTTAAACTCAGCAGAAGGTAGATGAGTCCTATCTAGCATAAACCTAAGTATAAACACCTAATAATTCAGATTAATAGCTTCAGACAAAAAAAAAAAAAAAATTGCCAGTATTTGGTGACACAGTGAGGTATACATGAAAACTAAGCTATTAATAAATGGAGGGAAAATATAATTTTGCTCATAATTTTACTTCATACTACTGAATATCCAAATGATGTTGATAAAATCATGTTTTCATTAGAGAACAACTGTATTATATCTGTAATTAGGAAGCTTTTACAGAGTATAAAACAGAGTTCTAAGGAAAAGACACGATCTCACAGAATCTGTAAACCACGTGGAACACACAACTGTAAATTCACATGCACAGCTGCTACTGCATGCATCTGATTTTCAGTCTGTGTGCAAAGTAGAACTAGTTGCAGCCTCCAAACTGTTAAAGTTATAACTCATCCATGGCATCCCTTCAATTTAAAAATAAAGAATTAGGGGATATTTGATAATAAGATCATACTGCATATAACTCAAGCCTCTCATTAAAAGTGATCTATAAATCTCAAATATGGTTTATTCCGAAACTATATTTATCAGTTTTGAAAGTTCACAGCAAAACACCTTAATATTAAATGGAAATGTACTTGAATATTAAATAGATATTATTATGAGGATTAATTTATTAGTGTCAGTGGGAAAAGATAACTAGAGTGAAATAATTATAGGAAAATTTAATTTTCCTTACTATTTTCTAAAAAAGATTAAAGCTTTGTTTTTCTTCCAGGTACCTAACTTTTTTCAGATGAGCTAGGAGTAGCAGCAAATATTTATCTCCATCATAAAAAGAACAAAACGAAAACAAAAAAGGTCTTATTTTTTTTTTAATAAATGAGTTTTCTACCTGATAAGCCTTGTGACTGATGCCATATACTAATGGATTTGCTCTCATCCGTACATAAAGATATGTGTAACTTATCCACTTCACTGCTTCTTCCACATTAGTAACTGTTCCCAGAGCAATCTGTAAATAAAAAATATAACAAAAATTAATGCACTAAAGTCAAATATAAATATTACATGAAAGACCATTCCATCAAAAGTTAAGTTTTAAAAATATATCATGATGCCGTACTGAAAAGAAGGCAAGCACAATTACTGGATACAAGACTTCTCCAATTAATTAAAAATCAGTCCTGCCTCATTTAATTGAGAACAGTACATGAGAAATACTATCTTCCAAAACTGAACTTATTCAATATATTATGGTATTTGTTTTTTTACCTAGATTTCAATTCTATACAGTGTTAAAAACATCTCTGGTGTTCATTTATTTTCCTTGCTTCCTTTTTCTTTTGGTTTCATTTTATGTGACCACATTAGTGAAAATTTTAGGGTAAATGCACAGAATCAAAAGTACTATAACTATATATACCTCTTTGTGATTCTATGTAGAGCCATTACCCAAGCCACAGGGCATAACATATTTTTTACCTCTAAACATAATTCATATGTATGATGGCCAGCAAAAACACACAATATGGATACAATAGAAATAATTTAAAACACAATAGCATATAAGATCAGTAAAATAAAGGTTAAGGATTGTTAGAAAATGATCCTAAGAATCTCAATGAAAAGTTTTCTTAAACATAAATTTTCTTAGCCACTAATCTTCAGTAGTCATCTTGCTTTTATTTAAAGTATTTAATTTAAAAATTTATTCAAGTTGTGAAAAATTGTGTCATTTTTTTAGGAACATGTAAGTAAATTTTTTTTATGTTTTAGTACTTTAATCACAGAAAGACAGCTGTTCTCTATGTAAATTTTTATATTTTAGGAGAAAATAAAAAAGGCAAAGCAAACCTCAGTTTAATGCTGAATATCAAAGAAAAGCCTTTGTATTTATTTTATTTATATATTTTAATTCTTAATTATGTATAAGTAATTTTGCAAAATAAATGTGAGTGCTTAGCTATCTTTAGTTGAAGAAGAAATATAGTTAATATATAATTATTATAATAAACCATAAATATTTTGTCATTAAAAATGGTCAAAGTTAAAAAAATGACAAGATAGTGACTATTTACTTTTAAATTTACACTAAGTTAAAATAAGTTAGACAGAGAAAGCTAACTATAAGATCTCACTTATATGTGGAATCTGAAACATCCAACTCAGAAACAAAGGAGCAGAATGGCTTCCAGGGTTTGAGAGGAGGGGGAACTGGCGAGATGATGGTTAATGGGCACAAACTTTCAAATATAAGGTAAACAATTTCTGGGACCTAATATCTAGCATGGTGACTATACCTAATAACACTGTATTATATCCTTAAAAGCTACGATGATATTAGAACCTTAATGTTCTCATCATAACAATGACAAAATGATCATTATGTGAAAGATGTGTTTACTAACTTTATGGTCATAAATATTTTACAATACATGCATGTATCAGATCATATAACCTTGCACACTGCCATATCAAATATATCTTTTTCTAGTCTGCCTAGGTGAAGGAAATTAGTTTGCAATATGGCTAAAAATCTGGTAGGGTCCATAGTTTGTGATTCCATTATTTGGCAGCCCAAACTGTTTATTTCCTTGTGACCTACAGATATTCCAAAATAATATCACACAACTCCTAGGAGTAGAAAATTTTATAAAGGATAAAACAGGTTTGCCATTATTTGCAAAATCAGACACAGTAAAATAACATTAATAATCACTTATTGTTACTAAGAATAAAGGTGGAAGCAGGTAAGAAAGACTGGTTAAGTACTACAAATCTTCTAAATGTTCACCAAAAAGCAACAGAGGAACCAGAAAAATGAAGGTCAATTTATGATGTTACATCATATTTTGAGATTAATACTTGAATGCCACCTAGTGACAAAAATAAAGATTTACTTGTAAATATTTGCTGTCATCTAGTGGCTATTTAGTACAGGAATATTTTGTAAAACACATATTTCTCAATTATCTTTTTGAAATTCATCCATTACTCACAGTTATCATAAATGGAGGCAGAACAAGACTGCAGAATGTAAAGCATGATAAGTATGTGACAAAAAGCATAGTCTTTGGTCTCCAGAAGTTTCCTAGTCTTGTAAGACACATGTACCTAAGGTGACAGGATATGAAACCACGATCCACAGTACCTAGTTAAATCCATATTCCAAATGCTTTTAAAGAAAAGCATCTAACATGTGAGACTTATAACAGTGCTACTGGTATATGATATAACAGAGCTTTACGCTCTTGTGAATAAGAGAAGGGGGAAAATATACTTCAAATTTGGGGTATTTAGGCATTTAGAATTGTGATTCAAAATATCACTTTGTATTTAACTTTAGTTATTCAAACTTTACTCTTTAAAGTTACCTTAATTGCTCATTTGTATTGTGTTTTAAAGCTATTCAAATCATATGAAAACTAAATAAGCAAACATAATCATCAAGAGTGTGTATATGCAAGACTATTGTTTCTACATGTGAATATATAAACTGTTTTATAAATACGTGAAAAAAACATTTATGCTGCCATTCACTTATTTGTTAACTGAAATCTGTGTGCAGGCATTAAATATAAATGGGGCTGAGTATCAAGGTATTACGAGATAATGTAAAGTGAAACAATGTTTTATGAATATCAACTTTGCACAGGTCTTTGCTAATTTTTGTAACAATCCAGTGAGCTTATCTCTATCTTAAAGATGAAAATTTGAGACTTGAAAGTTAGAGAGAAAAATGCCTGGTGAGAACAGAAAACCTATGTTGGACAATAACTTGAACCAGAACTGGGAAGGTTGTCAGACTGCGGAGTCCTTAAATATAAGGAGATGGGTGTTTGCTACCTGCAGAGACAGAACTACTCAATATAAAGAATGCTTGTACACTTACAGAGAGGTTAACATATTTTAAAGTATGGACTATGGAGGGCTGGTACAAAGTAGATACCTAGAATGCCTGTTGAAGAAATTTAAATAAGCCTCAACATGCGCCCATGTACTTTTCAGTGCAAAATTAAGTGGCTTTATACAAAGATAGGGCTTGTGATTTTTGACAACAGAATTAAGAGACTCAGCCCCATTAGGCATCAATCAACAAAGATGCCTGATAAAATGTTTGCATTAAAATTATTAAAAAATGCAATACTTTCTCTAGTTCTTCTAAAATAATGGTCAGAACTGATAATCATGTTATCAAAGACATTAGCAGATGCAACAAATAATCCAACATGACCTTTTTGTTGACCACTGCAGTCTAGCAAAGATTTTTGGGACTCTAAAGATTTAAAATTCCATTATCTTAAAAAAAGCATACATTCTTTTTTGAAAACTAATTATACATAAGGTTTCCACAGATTATCAATTTAATTTCATACTCAACTACAATTTAAGGGCATTTGTTTCCTTAACAAGAAAAGTTACTTTAACTGGGAATTATTCCAGTAGGCCAAATATACTACAATGGCTATCCTTTAATACATTAGCTAAAAGTTTTGAGATATATGTTTCATTATTTAACTGTCACTTAAGGTATTAAATGGAATTATGGTTATAGTTATAGTTATAGTTATTGGCTGATCTTTTTGAAATGATATACCATATATAAATACTATAAGTGAATTAACGGATTGTAATTTATTTTTAATTTCTCAGAAATGGACCAAATGATTTCACTGATGTTAATCTATCCCTAAGTGAAAGAGTTCATGGAGGACAAAAGCAGTACTTCATTTACCTGTCTTCTACGTCATCATTTTGTGTTTACCACTTATAAAATCTATCAAGGACAGCAATTCTTAGTTTACAAATTATATTGTCTTCCTTAATATGCTTTTCCAGAAAAATTGTATAAAAGATCCTTGCTCTATAAGTCAAAGATTTCAAAACTACCATTTTACACATTCACCTTTAATCTATAAAATAACATAATCTAGGCTATAATGAAAAGAGTAACTTTGGAATTAAACAGACCTAGTTTCAAAATTAATAGTCGAATGACCTCTATATCAGCTACATATCTCTGTGAGGACAATATTATCTACTTAGCAGGAATGTTAAGGGGGTCAGAGAACATACAAGAAGCACCCAACAGAGTCTCTGGCCTTTATAGTTCACTGCTATGATAACTATCATTGTATAACAGATTATTCTATCACTGACACTGGTGATCCATGATCCAAAACCTAATCAGTTAAACCATGCATTCATAGTAGGAAATTTAAGTTATAATATTTTCTTTGTAGTCAAAACTTATTTACTAATATTAATTTTTTTGTATTATGGTAATAAAGGCCAGTGTCTTTATAACTTTTTCTAGCTTCTAACCAGTCTCCCAAACTTTATCTCTCCTTCTGAACCCAGATCAAATTTCACCACCTTCATGAACAAAGCCTTTCTTGACAGCTAAAAGTATTTTTCTCTTTTACTGACTCCTTCTATCAAATTGAACATTTTTCAACATTACTGCACTGTACTTTTGCACCATTTTCTCCCTTTTTGGACTATATACTCCTTAACAGAGGGAACGACATAGTGTGTTTTTCATTCTCTAAAAAGTCTTATAAATAGTATAAAGAGAATGTAAGTAAAATTTCTATAAGGGATTTAAGAGAAATCTGATGTAAGGCTTATACACAGTAAGTAATATTTATTGTAAATATTCTATTTATTCATCCATCTCATATTTACACACCCCTTCAAAAACTGAGTTGATTTTAAAGGTTAAAAAAAAATACAAAAATAGGAAAGTGTTGACTGCAAAAACAATAATTAAAAGTGCCATGAAAACAGTGAAACCTCATTTGAATGTCTGACACACAGACTCTTAAATAAAATCTGCTATTTAAATCTTAATACAAAATGCACATGCACACATGGAACAAATTATGATATTCCAGCTCAATTTAAGCAATCATGTTTTATATAATAAAAATCAAATGATCTAAAAGAGTTTTATAAGCCTTACAAAAACTTCATAAAATATCATATAAAAACTTAGTTAAGTGTTGTTTGCTTCCCCGATTTGTATAGCTTTGGTTAGTTTCTGTCCTATAAATAAAAATTCATAACCTAAAAGCATATTATTTTTATTAGAGTTTTTATTGTTATTTACATTCCATTGAGTTCTGAACAAATCACCAATATTGCCATTCAGTCTGTTGTGTCTTTAGACTGGGTAAGGCATAAGCTATATTCCTAAATACTACAAAATAGCAACCAATTCAACCTTTATTTTACTTGGTTGTTCTTGAAACTAATGTTTCCATTACAACCTTTTTACTTAATAGATCTTACCTCTGCATTTAGGTTATCTGCAAGGCTTTCCAGAAATTGACTCTCAATTGGATTTTGTTGAGTGAGCAAAGTGAGGTAGTGGCTGAGTTTATCATGTGTTGTTATGATGATTCCTTCCCCAAATGTGTCAAATTGTGGTCTTCCAGCTCGACCAAATATCTGCATGACATCTAAAATTCCAAGGTCAACAAAGGAACCTCTCTTTGCGGCATAGATTTGTGTTCCCTAGATAAGGAAATGTTAATAAAAATTTACATAAACACACACAAATATAATCCTTATGAGCTGAATACTGAAATTAGGCAAATATGGTAAGGTATCCAAAGTGTACTTTAACTAATCCTTTCATCATCTGTGACAGAGTTAATTTTTCACAACATAAATTAGATTCTTTTGGAGAAAATAATTCTGCCCGTCTATAAATAACATTAAAAGTCAATGAAATTGCCAAATCACAATATATTTTTAAATAAATCAATCCCACAGGTTTGTTTTAAGACATACACAAATCCATGTGCAAAGGAAGGTAAGCTCTTACCTTAATAATAACAGCATGAGCAGGAAGATTGACACCCCAGGCTAAAGTAGCTGTACAGACAAGGACTTTGATATGCCCATTAGAAAACAAATTTTCAACCAAATTTCTGTCCTGCCGAAGCATTCCTGCATGATGAATACTAAAACCATCTGGGAATAATTCTTTTACTTGCTTATTTCTTGACTTTTGCACCTAGAGCAGATAACAAAGCATAAAAAATATTACTTAACATCTAAAAATAATTGTTATTTAGTATTTCTATACAACGAATTTATCAAAGAAAGCAGCATAAAATTATTTTTAAGGATCTTAAGGTCTTTATAATATTCTAAACAAAATTATTAAAGACTGTATAGCATCTATCTTAAAACATAAGTAAAGCAAACAGGATGCAAAAATCCAAAAGTGATGAAGTTAAAAGCCAATGTCCCTTTCACCCAGCTGTCCCATTCTTAGAATCAACCAGTCCATTTCCTACACTTCCAAAATTGCTATTTAAAAAGCCTAAATCTCTGTGGCATCCAACTCATTCATTCTAAAGGCCAGAATTTTTACAAAGCAAGACCCCACACAAATCATTCTCATACTATAACCTCACAAACAAGGGTGACTTTTCTTCTAAATCCATTTTCTGACAATCCACATCCATTTCAACCAGGCTCTTTACTAAACTACTCTCTAGAGTCACTGCCTGAGACTCTCACCCTCCTACTGAGATGCCCAATGTTCTCCATAGCACATGCTCTTCCTTTTTACAATTAGCCAATACACCCAATTGTGTTCACCAGATGTGTGCCTGGTGATCTTTGATGGGAGGGCACTAAATACCTGTCTTACCATCCTTTACAAATGTCCTGAATTTCACTTCTGGTTTCTGAACTTTACCTGATCTAAGCTTAGATGCAGTGTATGGTCCACTTTTGTAAAATATACATAGGTGCTATAGCACAAGATACGATCAACTTTGCTCAAGACTTTTCATGTAATGGAGAAAAATTTTCTGCAACATTAAAATTTATATTATCATAAAAAGGGTTTATATAGTCAAAGCTTCTGTTTAAGCATCATATCCTGTGCTTTTTTTGCTATTGCTTTGAAAATTTCATGATCAACATTTTAAGTTTCCTTTGAAATGGTTTTCCATAGCTTTTATGTAAGGGGCACTACACATTGCTAGGGAGTAAGATTTCAGGGGTCTGAGGTTTTGGTACAGACATTATCACATTGTTTATCTCCAAGGTCACTTAAAGTTTTAAATTTCTTAGCTGGTAATAATTAGCTAAGAAAAGAGCTCACCAAGAAATAGCTGAGGTAATACATTAACAAACCACACCATCTAGTGGCCAGTCAATAAATAACAGCTTACACATTTTGAGTCTTTGGGAGTCACAAAATACACATAATACTATCTTCTTTAAATTTATAAGTATATATTTTTTTGGTGTGTGTGTAGTGTGGTCAGTTTGCTAATAATCATTTTATACATACATATGATGATTAATTACATTTGGATCATACTGCCTCAACTTTTAGACAAGAGCTACTACTATTGTCTATCTTCTTTTTAATTCTAAAACCTGTATTCTTGTTCATTACATTGCACAACTCAAGATAGAAGAGAACATGATAATTCAAAGGTTTTCACGCAAATAAATTCCTACACATTTCGTAAATTTACTTAATTTCTGTTACCAGGCATAGAAAGCTAAAAGCAATGATTATGAACATGAGACAACATGGGACAAAGTCTGTTTCAGAGTATTTGCTAGGATACAAGTTCATTCATGGGCCAAGAATCAGGAGAGGAGAAATATTTTAATCCATTTTTTATCCAATATTTATGAGCAGAGCTAACAGAGAAAACTAAAAGCCTGGAGATGTTCTGCACAAATATACTACTGGATAGCTTTTCTTGCAGGTGAATCTGCTGTCTGTTAGCCTCTGATGTGGTTTTATAAATGTAGATTGCTAAGTCAAACTGCAGTTGAAGTAGGTCTTGAGGGAACAGCAATAACACAGGAAAGAAGGAGCGTAGGGGAAATATGTAGCTGTGGTGAATATTCTTACAATGCAGGAGGTGGGTCGTGGAGTGCTGACAGCATCTCCAGAAGGGTTCAAGCAGCTCTCGGGGTGACTACGTGGGTGCATCCCTCTGGTCTCTGTGAGGAACAAGAAGCAGGAGGAATTGCTTCTCTTTTGTCTCAATTCTTACTTAGATTCTGTGCAGTTCTTTTTTTAAATCTTTTATTATTTTTGCATAGAAGAACTGGGGTACAGGCCAGAGGTGTGAGGTTGAGAGGATCCAGAACAGGAAGATCTACTGAATCACACTGCTAAGGGGAACAGCATGTGAGACAGGAGAAGTCTGCTGTGCCATGTGGGTAGCTTCCAGGCTGGGGCTTGAACTCATGCTGCTGTGGTGATAGTGCTGAAGTCATTAACTCTCTGCTGTTCATTCTTAACTATCTTTGAATATGAACCTGTGGTTTCATCTACCTCATAGTACAAACTAAAATCCCTGGGGATGAGGCCTAGGGACTTGGTCTCCTAAAAATCTTATTTTATTTTATTTTTTTTATTTTTTTTTATTTAAATAATAAATTTTATTTTTATATTCCCCCATACAACTGCACATGCCCCATTCTGACCCCAATCCCTCCCCTCCCGGCCCCCACCCCCCCAAAAAGTGTCTCTGGTTCATAGTTTTTTGTTGATTTTGATTTCACTTTCTTATAGTTATTCATTTTCCTGATCCCTTATTTAAGTTTTCTAGATTCCTGCTATGAGTGAGACCATCCGGTATTTTTCTTTTTCTTTTTGGCTTTTTTCGCTGAGCATCTGGTAAAATGTGTTTTTTTCCTTTTTGGTGTACAGTTCTACACATGTTATTATTTGTTCTATTTGTGTAACCACTACCACAATAAGGATATAAAAACAGTTCCTTCACCTGGAAAAAATTCCCTTGTATTTATTTCTTTATAGTTAAAACTTCATATCCACATTCCCTGGTAATCAATGATCTGTTCTCTATCCGCACAATTTTGTCACTTCAAAAGTGTTTTATGAATTGAATCAAATAGTAGATAAACTTTTGGGGCTAGTTTCTTCCATCCATTCTGATGTCTTTTAGGTTTATCCAAATTGTCATATAACAGTGTGTTACTTTGTACTACTGAATAGTATTCTAGTGCATGGGTAAAAATACATGTTAATCCAATCAGACTGAAGGATGTTTGGGATATTTCCAGTTTGGGCAATCATGAATGAAACCTTATGAACTTTCGTGTACAGTTTGTGTGTATAAATATATTTTAATTTTTACAAAATAAATAGCAAGTATGGGATTACTGCATCATAAGGCAAATGTATGTTTAATTTTATGAAAACTGCAAAGCCATTTTCAGGGGCACTGTGCCAAATTGCATTTGTATTAGCAATGTATCAGAGTTGTAGTTGTTTCCCACGCTTGTCAGCACTTGAAATGGTCATTATATTTTATTTTAGCCATCGTAATAAATGTGCAGTGGTAGTTCATTGTGGTTTTAGTTACATTTCCTTTATGGTTAATGATATGAACCATCTTTTCATGGTCTTGGATTTATATTTCTAATCATCTCCTCAGGTTACTCTGATGCACACAAAAAATTAAAGGCCCAGTTCCTTAGAGAAAGGTAAGTGGAGTGATATTTTTTTCCACCTAGGTACAATGCAGCCCTACAATTTCAACTCAACAGACTACTCAGTATTAAGCACTTCACATTTATTACTGTACTAACTTATTTACATTCCTAAGAAAAGTACTTGTTAACAAATTTATAAAACATGACAGTGACTGAGAATGCACTGTAAAAAAACAAAATGAAAGTCATTTATATAAGAAACATCTATTTATATTGTGCTAAATCCAAGAAAAACAAAGGAATTTAAAACACAATCTGAGCTTTGCATAATCTGCAGATTGGAGAAAAGGATGGACCCTTACACAAATGTTTTCTATTACATATATTGACAGATTGCCTTCTGCATAGCTTATGCTTGCTACACATTACTAAATGAGTGAATCAATGATCTGCTCATCTTATCAAAGAAGTCTTTAGAGAAAATGTAAAACGTAGGTCTTGAAGGACAAGTGATATACTGCTAAATGGGAGACGGTAGGCAGCAGGACACACATTCAGGCTAGACCTAGAGAAAGAGCAGTATGTCTGAAAGGCATTACGTTTAGGAGGTGGGGAATGAATGAAAGAAAATAAAGTTGGAAAGGAGGACTGGAGTCAGGCTTTATATGGTTCCTAACAGGCAAAAGGGGGCCATTTAAAATTTTAAAGCAGGGCCTCCCCTGGTAGCGCAGGTGGTTGAGCGCCGCGCTGTGAAGATGTCCGCAGCCTCTGCAGCGCTGGTTCGATCCTGGCTGGCCGGCGAGGGTGCTACATGGTGCAGCAGACCTCTCCTGTCGCGCCCGCTGCTCCCCTCAGCAGCGTATTTCATCAGTCTGCCTATTCTGTTCCCTGCTCTGTCTCTGGTGAAGCCTCTCATCCTCCCGCGCATCTGGCCTGTACCCCGGTTCTTGTATAAAATAAATAAAAATCTTAAAAAAAATAAAATTTTAAAGCAGTATCTGATTCATTGTTTATAATCACTTCCTAGTTGTGCCAAGACTAGTGGTTGGATGAGCAGCTATGAGGCTTCACAACAATCCAAGTGAGAAGATGGAGATAGAGAATAGACAAAGCACATAAAGTCAATGCTTGTAAAGAGGGGTTAGCAAGACATGAAGATAGGGAAGGAGTTAGGATTGTTTCAAGTTTATTCTTCCCTTGGGTGCAATAATGATAGGATGGAAAAAGGGCTACAGGAAATCATGGATGATGTTCATGTGAATTTTATAAAGACAAAGTCCTAAGACTATAAAAAAAAAGATAAAAATTTCTACTGGTAAAAATATTCAGAAACAAATGAAAGTAAAAGATTAACTAGAAAAATGTCTGTAGCACACATTAGAGTACATGTAATTTAATACACTATGAGTCATGGATAGGAACAACTTATAGAAAAAGAAACTGTAATGGCTAATATGGAAATACTCAGCTTCACTCATAATTAAAGAAATTCTAGTCCTAATAATGAAGCACCATTTTGGCACATTAATCTGTCATTAACTTTAACACTCTGATACTGTCCAGTGTTGGCAA